TTTTAAGTTTGTGCTCTTAATGTGGGTTCAATTTCTGAACTGCTGTATTGTCTGAATTTGCCCCAAAAAGCTTTAGACTTCATGTTAGTAGACACAGTGTGAGATTGTACTTTGACATATATTGATTGTATTTTCTTTCCTGGGCTGACTTTCTTTGGGAAAAAGACAACAACAAGAAAAAACCTAACCTGAAATTTTTGCTATTACCATAGTATTCTCATGTAATGAATATGTTCCTTTTATTACAGGGGGCAGCATCAGAAGATGGGCGCTTGAACCGAGGAGATCAAATCATTGCTGTGAATGGGCAGAGCTTAGAAGGGGTAACTCACGAGGAAGCTGTTGCCATTCTCAAGAGAACAAAAGGAACAGTTACCCTGACAGTTCTTTCTTGACTTATTTAATGCTTCTTGCCTCCATAAATTCCTTTTTTCAGTGGTCCTATCTTACCAACAACTTTCTATGTATATAAAAGAAGAGAGTATATGTTCACAGATAGTTGGGTGTCAAGTAGACTCTTAATTGGTCTAAAAGGATGTCTTCTAGCTGCTATATTTTAACCTGACTGGTGTATATTTTAGAGGAAAAATACTATTTTAATATGTTTTAACCACTACAGATGTATCTTTTTATTGTCGTCAGTCTTGTGTTAAAGTTTTTGCAGTGCAGCATTTTTCAAGTTGGCCAAAGAAAGTCCATTTCAGTATTGCAGTATTAATGTGTAAATGAAGGCCCCTTTTGACAGTGGCTCAGAAGCTTTTGTTGAACTACAAATCTCTTGATGCTTAGCTAACAAGAGACAGACTGTTGCTTTATCTAATTAGGTATTTCAGTACAACTAGATGAGAAAAGGCTTGTACATGGCTTGCTCTCTTGTAAGCTTGTACATGGCATGCTCTCCAAGATTATAAATCTGAAATGTTAAAGAATATTGTATTCAGTGATGGTTTTATTTTGCTTTTGTCGTATACTGTAGTTTGTCGTATACTGTAGTTTTTGTCCCACACATGTGAAAACAGAATTATTCAGACCTTAATATACTGACAGTCCACTTATCATTCTTGTAACCTCTTACCATATCTTCTCGGGAAGTCCAAGACCTCTCCATAATCTTACAATAAGCCAGATTGTTTTAATAATACATAAGATGAGCAAACGGTCAGGTAGCAATAAAGAGATGCATGCAAGTAAATATTTTGAATTAGGGTTGTTCACACATTCCCAGTGTAACAAGGTAGATGCAAATACCTGATAACCACAGTACTGGGGAATCTTTTTGTGTATATGCAGAGTCTAAAAGCTGTAAAAACTCAAATAACATATGTATCACTGTGCCAGTCTCTGGGAACAGTAACAATTAATTATCCACAAAACCCACTGTTATTTTTCATATTTGTTTGGATGAACTGGTTACATAAAACTGCTTTCATTTAAAATATCAGTATTAAGCCATGAAAGATTACAAATCCGTTGTCAAGCTTAAATAACAATGTGTATGGAATTGTTCAGTTTGGAATTTCAATGTATTTTATGTTAACATCAATATCACATTCTACCTGAATACTATGATTGTAGACAATATTGTGTATTGTTTGTAACAAAGTTTCAGATTATTTGTATACATTTTGAAGAAGTTTTTCCAATAAAATACCGTATTAGCTTGATTGTTTTAGAACATGAAGAGCAAGATTACTATTGTTTTTCTCATCACTGACATTTTTAGACAAAACATGAATTTCATATGTGTATAAAGTATATTTCCTAGGTTGAACAATAAAATAAACCACAATTACGGATATTTCTGATTTGATGGTATGGCATTGTTTTCATTACAAAATAAGAAATTCTTTCTCTGAGCAATTTAAAAAAAATAAACATATATATATATATATATATATATATATATATATACATTATTATTTTTTTTTTATTTTTTTTTTTTTATAACATTTGACTTCTATTTTGGGTGACCTACAAATAGCTATACATGTAGTACAAGCATTGTATATATCACAATAAATTAATCATCAAACTGCCACCTTTACATTTTTTTTTATAAATATAGGCGAGAATGAGCAATGGGCCATATGCATGAAGATTCTGGGAAAATTAAACATTTTACGATCACAATTTGTTGCTTTTTATAGAAGAATTTACCTTCTCCTTACCTATATTTCTGGCCCCTTCTATGTATTTAGGCTGTGGGGTTATTCACAGTGGTCCCTGGACTGAGTCACTTGGTATGGCCATTTCCATTACATTGGCAGTTCACTAATTTGGTATGCAATGTTGTTCAAAGTTTTGAGTCACTCAGAAATGTCCTTATTTTCTATGAAAACATACATGAAACGAGTTTGAATAGGAAAAATGACATTGTCAATGTTAGAAATAATTACATTTAAGTGAAAATATAATTGTATCCCTCAAACTTTGCTTTTGTCAAAGAATCCTCCATATATAGCACTAACAATATTGCAGACCTTTGGAAATCTAGTCCTCAATTTGAAATAATCTAAAAATATGCTTCCTGAAGCCTGTCCCACAAGTTATATCGGATTGGTGAGCACTTTTAATGCACCAGATAGTCGTGCTGCTTCCACAACAGCTGTCTCAATCCCACCTCTCACTCCATGGCCATGTTGGTCCCTCTTCAGTGCACGCCGGAGTCTCTGGCATGCTTACCAGGAAGGAGTGTGCAGACAAAGGAAACAGCGCTAAAATAAATCAGTACTATAAATGGGGAGAGTAGGAGGCAGCAAACCTAAAAATAGGGTTCCATCTAAGTCCTATAAACTAGGATAATACAGTATCTCTCTTTTTTAAAGGTTTTTTTTCTTAAGATTTACCACTATATTTTGGACTTTGTTTACAATTAGCTGTACTATAATCAGCTTTGGCACAACCCTCATTTGTCTTGTCTTGTCTTTTGTACTTACCAGGAAGGAGGGCCTGCGTCTTCACTGTGCATAAAAACAATGCCGTGGCTCTCCCCATCGCACTGCGACCCGCAGTTAGTCCAAGCCCCAATCAGCTACACACATGATAGGGGTAGAACCTCCACCCCATAGTGATGTCATAAGTCTCTTAAAGAGGCAGAGGACTTATTTAACAATAAAGATAGAAATCAGTTAACCAATGATGTGGGAACCTCTCCCCTATATAACCACAGCTAAACCATACATTAGTGCTCAGTTATACTATGCTCCTCAGTGCATACACTTTTGTGATTCTTGTTATCGTCTGATCTTTTACCCGTGTGCCTGTTCACACTGTTTATGTGAATCTGTTACATCCTGCATCACTTCCTCATAACCTGCGCTCATTATACAAGAGCACAAGTATAATGTAAAGAATGTGTCATGCTGTACCTGCCTTTTCTACAACTGGCTTCTCATGGTAGTATATATCAGCAGCTAGACTCTCTAACCTTCCAAAGAAAACATTTCACATGGATACTTTGGATTCCTACCTGTTCATATATAATTTGAGAGGCCCTTACAAGTTCACCTGTACCAATTTCCATTAAATAGATAATTATTGGTTGATTGATGTAAGCTGCTGTCAGTACCATATGGAATGTGTTTTCCATAGTGCAAGCTGCAATTCTATTATTTTTGTTTCTACTAATATAGCAAAAGTTAAAATAAGTGTTTGATGTCTATTCAATGTTAGCGTGGGCATTGTTTTTTTTTTTAAGAATCTTCCCATGCAGAAAGCTGAATTAGCTGCATATCTTGTTAAAGGGACCCTTCAGGCACTCAGACCACTTCTGTCCATTGGAGTGGTCTGGGTGCCAACTCCCATCACCCTTAACCCTGCAAGTGTAATTATTGCAGTTTTTACAAACTGCAATAATTACCTTGCAGGGTTAAGTCCTCCTCTATTGGCTGTGTATCAGGCAGCCACTAGAGGGACTTCCGGGTTCTTAAAACACAAAAGGTGTTTCAAATGACACTGGGCGTCCTCACGATATGCATGAGGACCTACAGCGTCACCGGAATCCCCATAGGAAAGCATTATTGAATAATGCTTTCCTATGGGAAGGTCTAATGCGTGCGCGACCATTGCCGCACATGCACATTAGGTCTCCACCGCTGGTGAACGTCAGTGGGGGAGAAGCGTTGGCGGAGCCTGACCCAGCACAGAGGGACATCAGTGCTGGATTCAGGTAAGTGGCTGAAGGGGCTTTAAGGTGTGAGAGGGAGGGGGGCACTACAGGATTCTGCAGTGCCAGGAAAACAGATTTGTTTTCCTGGCACTGGAGAGTCCCTTTAAGTGTTATTGGGCCTTTTGGCCAGCTAGCGACTAGCGTGTATACCAGACTGAGGTCAGGAAAATGAAGATTAAAGCAAGTCCCTTAAGGAAAAAATTGAGTCTTTCAATCCTCTATCATTATTACATCTCTACTGTGCCTTCCTGCTGTATTTAGTTGTTCTATTCTAGATTCTGGATTCTAGATTAACTGTTAAGTATGTTAATACAATTAACCTTTTGGCTCTTGGTACAGCACATCTGGAATGAGCTGGTCCTAAACTGAATGCCAAAGTTTGTTTATGAAGATTATATAATCTCACCAGGTGTAATTTCTCTGCAGAAGAAGAATTATGTGAATTATACAGTAAATAAAACAATTTCATGTTAGTTTTTTTGTCGATGTATATGTGAATTTTCCTCATGTTTTTAATCTACTTTACATTTTATAGATTAACAACCTCAAAAACATTGTTTTTAATTTAAGTCCAAAAGCCAAGAGACTTTGTTTATAGAGTGATTTCTCCACTAGATGTACAAAGGGTCTTTATTCTGATTGTGAAATGTAAAACATATATCTATAAGAAAACAGAAGTTATTAGTCTGATTAGCGGATAATATCATTTAGTGTTACTGTAAACATGAACTGGCCTTCAAGTAGCCTCAATGCTATCTTTTAGCAATTCAAGAACCAAATGCTCAAAAAGTATTTATAAAATGTCAGATTAAAAATATAAATACATAGAACAAAGGATGCCCAGATGACGATACATTCAGACAACTAGAAGCGGTGCGCCACTCCATACGAACTCTGCTATTGGATGATACCGCTAAATCCATGACATGGTCCAAAAGAACATTTTAAGAACATACCAATAAGATGGATACCTTGTTAGCCAGAGTGCTTAGGCCCAGAAGGAGAAAGGGACACATCACATCTATACGGCACCCGATAACTCAGTCAAAACTATACCCAAAGACATTGCGGAGGTATTCACGGATTTCTATAAATCCCTCTATAATCACTCCCCAAACTCAGTGACATTGACAAAAAGAGACGAGGACTTGACGCGTAGTTTCCTACAAGACCTTGGACTACCAAAATTACCACAAGACGCGGTCAATACGTTAGCAGTGGAAATCAATCCTGAAGAGATTGACCGAGCAATCACTGCTTTAAAAGGGAATAAGGCCCCGGGACTGGACGGTTTAACAACCATGTTTAATGGGTTCAGGGCGGGAGGCACACAGGACCTAGATATGTCATTAGCTACCATCGTCTTACTGCCAAAATCCGACAAAGACCCCCTACTCCCAGAAAAGTTACAGGCCTATATCCCTCATAAACCATGATAAGAAAATCTTAGCGAAAGTTCAGGCAGAAAGGCTTAACCCCTTCCTAGCCCATATAATTGACGCTGATCAAGTAGGCTTTATACCGGGCAGACAATTATTTGAAAATTCTCGCAGGAATATAGACCTAATTTGGAAACAGGTAGCCACCCAAACCACAACGCTGATACAGAAAGCAGGTACAGAATGCAGATACAACGCTGATACATTGATGCAGAAAAAGCGTTTGATAGAGTTAAATGGCCGTACTTATTCACATTATTGTCTCACTTAGGTTTTCCTGAACAGTTCATAGCAGTGCTAAAGACCATGTATAGCAATGTAAGGGCGCAGGTGAAGATCTCAGGGGCCCCACTCCGTCCTTTCCAGCTTTTCAATGGCACTCGGCAGGGTGCCCATTATCACCCCTCTTATTTGTGCTATCATTGAAACCATTACTCCAGGCTTTGCGGCGCCATCCGGGCATACAAGGAGTTAACGTTGGAGGCAGGGACTTCTTGGTGTCTGCGTATGCGTATGATGTGCTCTTGACGCTCACTGACCCGATTAATTCAATAGAGGCTTTACAGGAGATACGATGGGGCAATCTCGGGATACAGAGCTAATATGGCTAAGTCTAGCGCTCTCCCCATAGGAATACCAGTGACGGAAACAACATTAATACATGCTACACACCACATACGCATTGAACATAAAACACTTAAATACCTAGACGTTTGCCTGACGGCGAAACCTGAGAAATTATATGACTTAAACTATACGCCAATGATGAAGCAACTTATTCGGGACATGGAGACATGGGTGGACAGGCCCATCTCGTGGATAGGAAGGATTCATGCAGTAAAAATGAACATTTTGCCTAGGATCCAATTCCTGTTCCAGACGCTGCCTATCCACGTCTCCAGATAGCACAACTTTTACAGCAAGTTATGGGGTCCTTCATTTGACAAAATAAACAACATTCGGGACATATCCTATATAGACCTAAGACGAGGGGGAACTGGGCCTCCCTAACCTGTATTACTATTACATGGCAACTCAGCTGACGCACGTTACAATGTGGCACTCCCCCCCCCGGGTGAAAGGAAATGGGCTGACGCAGAATTCCTCATGACCGGGGCAGACCTACCGCAACTTCTCATGTGGGCTCCTAAGGATTCCAGACCCATGATTAGGGCCACTTGCCCGACTATACTAAATTCCTTAAGAGTGTGGGACTCCTCCATGCAAAAGTATAGTTTGGC